ATGTTCTGGAAGAAGAGCACAGAAACGTTATTTCCCAGCATAAAATGATTTATGAAATGAGCATTCACATTTTTATTTTTGATCATCAAATGAGGCATTTTGCCTTTTGTGGGAAAGATTATTTTTTGGTAATGAGACTTGCCCCATTAACACCGAGGGTTAGTGTTCTTTTAAATGGTGGTGGTGGACCGACGAATGAATTAAGAAAATGTGGTGTCTATACACAATGGAATTTTATGCAGCCATGAAGAAGAACGAAATGTTATCATTTGCTGGTAAATGGATGGAATTGGAGAACATCATTCTGAGTGAGGTTAGCCTGGTCCAAAAGACCAAAAATCGTGTTCTCCCTCATATGCGGACATTAGATCAAGGGCAAACACAATAAGGGGATTGGACTTTGATCACATAATAAAGCGAGAGCACACAAGGGAGGGGTGAGGATAGGTAAGACACCTAAAAAACTAGCTAGCATTTGTTGCCCTTAACGCAGAGAAACTAAAGCAGATACCTTAAAAGCAACTGAGGCCAACAGGAAAAGGGGACCAGGAACTAGAGAAAAGGTGAGAGCAAAAAGAATTAACCTAGAGGGTAACACCCACGCACAGGAAATCAATGTGAGTCAATGCCCTGTATAGCTATCCCTATCTCAACCAGCAAAAACCCTTGTTCCTTCCTATTATTGCTTATACGCTCTCTACAACAAAATTAGAAATAAGGGCAAAATAGTTTCTGCTGGGTATTGAGGGGGTGGGGGGGAGAGGGAGGGGGCGGAGTGGGTGGTAAGGGAGGGGGTGGGGGCAGGGGGGAGAAATGACCCAAGCCTTGTATGCACATATGAATAATAAAAAAATAAAAAAAAATGGTGGTGGTGAGGTAAAGTCCCCTGCCTTAAAGAACGTTGATAAAAAAAAACTACATAGCTCTCTTGTAACTGGTTTTCAGTTGCAGGCAGGGAAGGTTACTAGGTATGGCTATTTTTGGTAATAGTTGCTAGCAACAGCTTCTTTACCATTAAACTATATGACAATGAACCAGGCTATTTGTGAGGCTGTTTTTTTTTTTTTTAAATAATAATATGAAGAATTGCAAAGCTAGTTTTCATTCTTGTTAATGGGAACAGAACACCACAGTAGTATTTTTGGAATGCTGGGTGTAACAGTGGGTCTCTTAGTTATACCAATGGTACTTCCTCCAGGCTAAGGCTTATGTTAACATAGTACACATAATTGCCACAAAATAGGACAAAGACAAATCAGAAAGCCTCGTTTCCCTCTATCACCCTAAGACTGTAAAGGTTGCAATTGCAGGGTAGCCTTAACTACTAACTTTACCACGTGCTCTGCCGTTTCAGTTGTGATAATCTGATTTCTCTTTTCATAAAAGAAACAGTATGAACCTACACAAAGAGAAGAGTGGTCTACCCACTGTGCTGGGAACATGTAGGCTGTAAGCAGAACAGCCTTTAGGAAGAAGTTTTCTTTGGGACAAGACTGCACTTTTGGGCTGGTATTAACTCTGAGAAAGCCTTGACAAGCTCATGTGGAAGCATGTACTGCTGCAAGCATAAGGGGGGAGCACCCTGAGAACTAACCAGAGTGCCCAGCACACTGAACCATTTGGAAGGGAAGAAACTGGGGTTCTAGAGCGGGAGGGAGAGAAATGAGCCCGCTGGGAAAATCCTAACCAGGGTTCTTCTACCACTTTTCACTGTGAGCTTGATGGTGAGTAAAACAGGTACTATGAATGTGTGTGATCTGGAGCCATTTTCAGGAAGAGATACTGAATGACACCTCCTCTAGTTTTCATGAAAGATGAACACTGCTGGGCAACAGTACCTTGCTGCTCAACTTTAAAATTTTATACTAACCCCCCACCCCCACAAACAAACCTCATTCTAAGAAAAGGGCTCTCGACTTTTGGCTGATTAATTTCTTAGATTTTTGGTTCCTCAACAGAAGAATGCCTCCTGTCCCTCTGCAGCAAGCCTGTAGCCTGGATTGGTGAGCTTGAACTGACTGGCAGGGAAGAATGGCTTTCTGGAAACCTCTTAATAAAATCTACTTTTCCTGTAAGTGCAGAACCATTAAGAATAACAGAAATAGATTTAAAAGTTGTTGAGCTAGAGTCCATAACAGAGCCAAACATTCACATTCCTGTAACACGGCATTCAGGCCAGATCTAGGCAGAGCACACACCAGTTTATTTTGAAATAAATGCAACACATCAGTATTTTACGAATACAACTTAGTACTGCATGAACACTGTCAGGTAGAAACAGCTTTCAAATGCATGCATAGAAAGTTAAGCATAGTTTTTGAACTCCTTATTTCTAAATATACAAAAAATACATTTAAATTATATAATTTTAGTGAATCAAAGACTTATAAAATTACAATTTTGGTTTTCACAACATAGAAAAAATACAAAAATGACTGTATATATGGTGTTACTTTTTATTTACCCAAATTTCAACAAAGCAGAGTATATAGAATTTGATGTTTTAAAATGGTTTATCTGAAACTCGGAATTGAAAATCATTTGCAGGTTGGACCAGTCTTTTATCAGAGATGAATTACCAACACAAGTGAAAAATGAGGGTGTGATCTCTTAGTGCTATGTCTTCCATCCTGTCTCAAGTCTGCTTCAGAGGAGCTTTCTCCTCTGGGAGGACAGTGCTTTATTCCACTCCTGACTCCATGGGGTCTTTGATATCAGTGGGGGCATGGAAACGAGTGATCTCCACCTTAGCAATCACCAGATTAGCAGCTTGTGTCTATAAAGCACTGCTGTGCACCTCAAAGGATTCTCAGAAGGAGGCCCCTGGAGGATCTGAGACATGCAAGCAAGCAGGTGCTGGGAGGACGGGTGTCTGACACAACACTGTTGAAAGCCACCTTCCTTGTTCACGCCCTCTAAGATGTGACCTTTGGCGGAGGTGGGATGTTCTCAGTTTATTAAAGAACACTACCACTTCAAAGGAGAAATTAATTCATGTTAGGGATTAAAAAGCCCAGTTGCTTGCAGAGGTTACTGAAGGACAAAGTGACGCCTACTTATCTGCTGCAAGTATCTTCAATACTGATGTACAAAAACACTCTGGGGTGGAGACCCTTTCTGAAAAGGGAGCCATTGGCTGTGTTCTCATTGCCAAAGTTCATTTCAATGCAATACCATGGGCTGCAAAAGAATGTTCTTCATAATCAGTGACAATTTACAATCGAGAGGCCTGAATAAAATTCCCTGTCTTGAAACGGTGGAAAACCTGCTTTATTCATCCCATCTTCCGCTCCCATTCCTAAAACAACTGAAATAATTTTAGCCAAGTAAAGTCATTAGGCTAATCTGCCCCAAGTTGGCTTTACTTTACCACAGCAATACTTCAGGAAGATTAAAGAGGGGAAGGGAATCATCTTTCCCACATATTTGTCTTTCAAATGCAAGAACAGACTCTAATCTCAACACACCAGAGTTAAGAGTGCTTACTTGAAGAATTTTAATGTTCAATTTAAAAATAATTACACACCTGCATTATTTTCAAGCTTCTATGAAAATATGCATTTAAAATTTTAGTTTTTCATTATGATAGTCTTCTGATATTAACAATTATATTTTAAATGACAATTACTAAGTTAGACTTTTACAGTCTTAAAGATCAACCAAAAATAATAAAAGGGGAAAGGCTCCATAAAGAAGATACTGTGTTTAAAATCTAGTGCACACCTAGATTTGGGCTTGGAATTTTTCATCCAACCCTTTCTGGAGGGTTTTAAACGTGACTGATCAATTAAGTTCCTTAAGTCATGGTATTTCCCCACTTTGGCAGAACTAGGATTTGAACTCAGGGCCTCATACTTGCTAGGTAAAAGAAAAAAAGTACACTACCATTTCTAGCCCTTTTTGTTTTAGTGATTTTTCAGATAGGGTCTCACACTTTTTTTACTTGGGGCTGGCCTCAGACTACCATCCTCCTATCTATGCTATGCCTCTTTAGTACTGGGATTACAGGCATGTACCACCAGGCCCAGCAAGACATGATGGTAATTAGACAACGTCCATAGGACAAAAAACTGTTCTGAGGCTACTCCACATGGGAGACGATGCTATTTTCTGCTCAAGACTGCCCATTTAGAACATGTGCTCCTCTGGATTGGTAACTTGGTAGGAATTAACACAGGACCGTAATTAGGAAAAGGATCTAAACAGAAGAGCAAATAAACCATTCCTGAATGTTTTTCTGGACTACATTTTCTAAAGCAACACCATTTATGTGCTTTAAGTAACAGATTCCCTACTCCTATGTGACAAGATGGGCTTCGAGTCCATAAATGAGAATAGCTGTTGGCAAATCTGTTACTCAGAGGTGCTCTGAGAACAGTGCTGTGAAAGGTACTAGTCACTTCCTAACTATTGAGTGTTCCCTGTGTGAGGACTGTCATTTGTTAAAATATGATTGAGCTGAGCTCCAGGTATGGTGGGTTCATTAAAATATACTTACACATACGTATTAAATTGAAGCGCATTTCTTAGTGGCAGGCGGTAATGATTCAATTGAAACAAACCAAGGAATTCTAGTGGTTTTCTGCTTACGGGCACCACCCCAAAGCCTCACAGGCATATATATTTTGTAACTCATTCACTAGCTACGAGGGGCAAGGGCCGGCCCAGGAAGAACTTCAGATCATTCAGAAGACAAAGTTTGCCACTTCAAAAATAGTTTCCAACATGCAGTCAAGTGCTTTGAGAAGGGAATAAACGCACTGCAGACTGAAATTAACTCCCACCGCAAGCTGGGCGGTCGGTTGGTGCAACTCATTACTCAGACTGTAACTCCCAAGTACTCAGTGTTACAGATTTTCATTTTAATCAGACACATGAAAGACACAGGAAGAGATAGAATGCCAAATCCCTTTCTAGTGCCATTGTAAATACTGGGAACTTTTGGTTGGAAGAGCATGCTGAAAAAGGACCGGCCAGGATATTTTATGTAACAGCCTTTTATTTATTTATTTATTTATTTAAATTTCTATAAAATCCCAGGCCCATGTGACACTGGATTTTGGTTTTTGTTTTGTTTTTTAAAATATTTTAAAAATAGTTCTTACTTATTTTCTATGAAACGTATTGGGAACTCAAAAAGTCTGCAGCATTTTTTGATCATTGAAAAGTTTGGTTTTGGGGGGTTTGGATGGTGCAGAAAGCAGGAATTATTCAAACTTCTTGTGTTCTTCAGTATGAGAAAGGATCTTTCTCCTCTGGTGCATCATGTGGAAGTATAGCTGGGGGAAAACTGAAAGAAAAGAAAGAGCGAGTTAAGGAGGCCATTTAAAACTGCATGTTCTACTTAAAGCCCCTGAGCTTGCAGTGCTGCCGGACCCTCTGCCTGCCTTCTCATCCAGTACCGAGGAAGGAAGTGAAGAGGCCGTGTGGAAGGAGGGACAACACTCATATGTGTACCTCTTCCTGCTCTAGCTGAGGAAGAGTGATGTGGCATGGAAACGACAGACACCGTTTTCACTGCCATTACCTATCAAGATGCCACAGAGCCACCAAATGGCACAATGAAAACAGTAATAACTGTATTATTTTCTTTTTGCAGTGCTGGGGACTGACCAGGACTCATGCATGCTAGACCCTGAGCCATACCACAGCCCTGCCAAATGACATGCTTTACACTCTTTTATATTCTACTCACAGTTATTCTGGCTAATTTCCCAACCACCAGCTAAAGAAGACTAGTGATGGAGTATTCCTATTTCAAAGACAGGAATTCAGGCTCCAAAGAGGGTAAACAACTTGCCAGGGGTCTCAACGGCAAATTACTGACAGAGTCAGGACCAGACTCTGGATTCTTAACCCATCTAACCTGGTCTGTCTGGGAGGGAAATCTCCTCAAAACACTTCTGAGAAAGGTTGTTTTTGAATGGGGAGACTGGGGAGGGGAAGGAAGGCTGTAACATTTGATCTAAACACAACCAAGCCAGGATGGGATGTAGAAAAGGCAAAAAGGAAGGAAGAAAGGAAGCCAGTATTTCAGGCACTGGAGAGTCTTCTGTTCTTTTCACAGGATACTTTAAAAAGTACTGGTTCTCAAATGAACAGGTGGGCCTGCTTCCCTAGGGACTATCTGGAAATGGGCAGGAAGGTGAGACTACTGGTGTTTAGCACATGAGACCAGGGATGCTAAAATGCCCTGCAATATGCAGTGGTCCTCCCAACTAGTAACTGTCTACCCAAAACACCCTTCTGAGAAATGGCTGGCTTGGGCAATCTGGCCTTCAAACTGTTTCTGTAAACTGAAGGTTCAGTCACCATGTAAGCAATTCCATGTTAGATAGTCTTTGGAGTACATGCCCTTTCCTCAACCCCTCCCCAATGGCTCCAATCTCTATTTTTTTGGACAATAACCTATATTTAGGGGATGGTAATTTTGACTAATGCCAACTCTCCTGGGACAGTTTCTTCCTTTTTAAATGGATTCTAAGTTGGCCAAATTTCAAATGATGCTTCCAATATTCTCAAATGTCAGGAGGTGCTCACACAGATCTGATGGACAGCAGTGGAGGTCCGGGCACGGAGCCATGGCGCAGTCCACTTCACTTGCTATTTTCAGCCAAGAAGTTATCCACAGAAAAGACCCAGCTATGCAGAGAATTCAACAGGGACAGAACTATTTTGATACAAAATCCAGAAAATTTGACAAGCTCTCTAACCTAAAAACTGGATAAAGATGTAATTAGCCAGAAGGAATGCTAACTATAATCATGTGAAATGTGGGACCAGTCACATTTCTAGATTTACTTTAGTATTCGGAATCTTTGTGAACTGATTATGCTAAGGACTCTCACTGGTTGTATTTGTGATTACTATATCCCACAGCCCCACAGTGGGTGGCTGAGCCTCATGCCAATTTGGGGGCTCTGAGGGAGAAGATGGAGTGAGGGCCATTCATTAGGCTCTCAGTAGCAGTAAAAGCAAGAAGATAGCTACGTGTGCCATTACAGCACGGACAATAGCCTGTGGCCATCAGCAGAGTCAGAGGCCAGAAACGGGGCAGATAACGTCTTCTCATTCTTTTACAATTCTAAGAAGTTCTTTAGTGCCCAAGGTAAAGGGACAAGTATGGGAGCCAGGTGGCTGGGGGCTCTTGGGCTCTTCTTTACAGCTCCAGCAATGACTTTTTTTTTTTAAATTAAATTCAGGTATTGGGGATTAAATGTAGGCCTTGAGCTTGCTAAGCAAGTGCTCTACCACTTGAGCCAGTCCCCACTCTTTTGTGTGTGTGTGTTACTAGAGTATTAACTCAGGGCCCCTTTTTATTTTTAAGATAGGATCTTGCTAATTTCTCCCAGGCTGGCCTTGAACTTGAAATCCTCCTGTCTCTGACTCCTGAGTAGCTGAGATTACAGGCGTGTACCACCACACCTAGACAGCAGTGATTTCTTGGCAGTCAATGATTTGATACTGTATCCATTGGAATTACCTATGTGTTTAGGTTGAACCTAAGTAAAATGACTGGAACAATTCCAGACTCACAGATACATCAGGCTACCCTGCAAACTAAAAAAATCTCAACCCAACAAGAGGCTTTTGAGAATTCTACCTTCTGTGGTCCAAGTCAGAACACACAAGAGAGACAGTCACTGTGCATGTGTGGTGGCATGAAGCATAGCATGGCCACTGACACCCTGGGCAGTGCTGGCTCCTTGGTGTCTTCAGCCCGAAGTGGTATTTCTCAATCTTTTTTGTCTCTGCTCCCATGGCCAATTTTTGCCAAGTTTTTTTTGAAAACGTAAACAAGACTTAGGTATCTGCTGAGGCCTGCAGAAATGTACCGCATTGCTACTATACACACTGGAACTGCAGCAGGGAAGGGGAGGAGTGTCAACGCAAGGACAGTCCTGGGGCTGAGGTTCATGAGTCACAACTCGGGCTACGTGTGTAGCAATGGATCAGGGCCGTAAACATACACGTGTATCATCAACTTCCCACCAGAAAGGACTGAAAGAACTTTAGAAAGAAAACCAAATTTGGTGAAAGAGACTGCATATCCACAGCAACTCACCTAATTCTTCATTTTCTTCTTAAAGATACAAAGCACTGGACATTTGGAAATGTGCAGTTGGCAATGTACAAACTGGTCTCAATGGTAACAACTGAACAACTGAAATTATACATGGCCACTGATGAGCGCCAGCTCACATATGGTGACCTGCAGCAGGAGTCAGGCTGGGCTGCCATCTTGCATGGGGGTGGGCAGTTGGGGCATATCATTGTTAGGGATTTGGAGGGAATCTTTAAGTCTTCATTTGAAATCCACCCTTTGCCCTGGACTACAAGAGTTAAGCTGCCTTTAAAAAAGAAATTAGATTTTAACCAAGCCAAGTTCTCCTACCAAAAGGAGGCCAAGACTGGGAGGAGGAAGGAGTTGAGGCCAAGAAGGCAGCATTCCGTTGGGAGGATGGTTCTTCCCTATTCTCTACAAGACAGCTGGCCCTGAGGTCTGTGACTACTTTTCTTCCTCTGTCATAGCCAAGAGGGAAAACCCCACAGAGCTGGCTATGCTTTCCTTCAGGAGGAGTCCTATCATAATGAGGGCTCTCTTGCCTGACTAGCCTGTTACTACAAGAGGCACAGGTAGAGGCAAAAGGTTCAGCAGTGGTTGGCTACTTGGGACCCCAAAAGACTAGCAGATGCAGGCAGAGTGATGCTGCCTGGAGAGCTGCTCTAGGAATGAAGCCCTTCTTCATAGCAGAGTAAAAATCTGACAAGATCTCTGAGGTTAGAATGCCTGGGTTTTCCTCAGCATGGAAGCACCTTGTTTGGGTGTGAGTTCACAATACCCTCCCTGCCTCTCCCAGCTACCCAATGTAGTACATGTCTCTTATTCATCTGAAACAACCCTGTGGTGCCCACAGGGATAACATGTGCTACTTTGAGTATGGTAACACCACAACTATGCATTGTAGCTCTAGAAATGGAGAATGAAGCTCTAAGGAAACAAAATTAGAAAGGTGAAAAATATGTCAATTTTTACTACTTAAAATTTCAGACTCTTCCATATTTGTCTTATGTTTAAAAATTGACTACTGTTATGTTTCAAGAAAGATAGCCTTTATACACCCTGGTTCCAGCAGTAAAGGAAGAGAGTGGAAAATGAATCATGAAGCAGGATTGCATCCAAGAATTTCTTCAAGATAAATGTTGTGGATGTAGTTTTTTTCCCTACAATGTACAAAATGCAATTTTCAAAGGGACACAAACACGTCACTTATGATTGTTATAATGATTCATTCAGGTAATGCTGTGAAATAAAAAAAAATTTATCCCTGTTTGAATTTAACTTGGGTTTAGGGGAGACTATAGTGTCTTATAGACTAAGGTAAGAGGTACAATGACTACAGAAATAGCTAAATGAGGAGAAACATGAACATTTTATATCCTCGCATACAGAAGTCAATTGTATTTACAACTGAACACCAGCATTTGAGGAGACTACATTCTCACCTTCAGCAACAAGAACCTCCTCCCAGAGGCTTTATACAGGTCCTTTCCTTTTTGCCACCATGTATGCTCAGAGGTACATTTGATTCTCCGTATATTTAAACCTTCAGTGGTGCCACTGAAATAACTGGAAATCACATGGAAGGGTACACTGTATCCCATTCAGAGGGTTTAGTGCTCAACAAGAAAATGAGAAATGCAGGAGGAAAAAATGTTTTTTATTTTCCTGTTTCTAGTCAACTACTGATCCCTTAAAATGAAGCAAAACTGTCTATTTTGATATAATAAGCAAAGCGAAATCCTTTTATAATGTTTTTCACAAACCATACTAAGCAATTCTCAAGAGACAGGAAAATAAAACCAAGGTAAGACCTTTAATGGCTTTTTTGTTTTTTACTCAGTACATTCTCTGAATACATAGTTAATCTATCCTGGTAGTCAGTGTTTCAAACCTACACACTGAAAAGGGCTGCATTTTGGCAGTTGTACTGAGAAGGGTTCATCTACCAGAGAAAAATTCCCTTTGATAGTTAGCAGTCAACAAAAACCAAGGGGTTCCCAATAAATTAGATTTATATTTACTTGGATATGGTACAAAGACAATCAAATGCATCTAACTCTAGTTATTGTAGAGACAAATTTTAAAACACAAATAAATATATGAACTACTATTTACTTACTTGGAATGTAGGAGATCATTATTAAAATTAGGAATGCATAGTAGTCAAAGGAGAAATTGTACTTGTTAGGTAAACTGATGGAGTAGAGGCCAGTCTGTCTGACAAAGGGCAGAGCTGCGTATATTGTGAGCAATTCTCCCGACACTCCCATTGGGTACAACACAATGAAAAGTGTGTACCTGAAACAAGACAAGATACTCATTACTGAGGCTCAAAGCCAGCATTAGCAGAAAGATGCACTCCCACTCTTCCAATCAGCACTGGTCTTTCAGAAAGCTCTTGTTCCTACATTTCCTGTTTACCTACTGTCTAAATTCAGGTTTTATAAGCCAGTTTTTCAAAAGGGCCTATAGTAGGTATGTTTCTGAATGTTCTAAAACAAAATAAATGTGTTCAGTCAACCTCAAAAATTGGCCTAACAAAATAAACAACTCTTCAAAAACAATCCTTCAAAGCAAAGCGAAGCAGTATTTGGTATCAGGGATACCAAACACTGCTAGAGTATGGGCATTAAGTCAGGGTTTATGCTGAAGGGCTCAGCCCTGTGGGCTAAGGGGTAGGGTGGGAAGATTGGGGAGGGGGTTGAGAGGAAGGTGTTACACGCTAGCATATACAGTGAGTGGCCTGAAGAAAAACAGCACATCAAATGTGCATAATACACTGTTTTCCAAATGTCTGCACATGCTATTGGGAAAAATGGAATATATGCAAATTTTAACAACATTAAAAATTCTTAATAGCGTTGAAATTTTCAATTAAAAAGGTCCCACAATTACAATTACTATCACATGACAGAATCCATACAATTATTTTCACTTTTAAAAGTTCTCTGTTTCAAAAGAATTCAGAGAGTAGTTGCTACCCACAGAGCCTGAAAACCACTCTGAGGTGTCACGCACTGACTTTTAGCTGCTCACAGATCACAACGAACACTGAATTCCAAACTCCCAGATACAAAAATTGTGCTGAGAAATCTATGAAGATGAAGGAAAAACATATTCCTCATTGCCAACCTAGGTTTTTAGAGAGAACAGTGAGAAAGAAAGAATCTTCCATAGGCCATGGAGAAAAGTGGCCAAAAGAGTCTTTCAGTAATAATAAATCAAGGCTCAGTCAACAACTTCCATTGTGATAAAGCAAGAGCACACAAGGGAGGTATGAGGATAGGTAAAACACCTAAAAAACTAGATAGCATTTGTTGCCCTCAATGCAGAGAAACTAAAGCAGATACTTTAAAGCAACTGAGGCCAATAGGAGAAGGGGACCAGAAACTAAAGAAAAGGTTAGATCAAGAAGAATTAACTTAGAAGGTAACACACACGCACAGGAAATCACTGCGAGTCAACTCCCTGTATAGCTATCCTTATCTCAACCAGCAAAAACCCTTGTTCCTTCCTATTATTGCTTATACTCTCTCTTCAACAAAATTAGAGATAAGGGCAAAATAGTTTCTGCCAGGTAGTGAGGGGTAAGAGGGGGTAAGGGAGGGAGGGGGAGAGGGGCAAGGGAGGGGGCGGGGGGAAGAGGGGAGAAATGACCCAAACATTGTATGCACATATGAATAAAAAAAAAAAACAAAAAACAAAAAACCAAACAACTTCCATTGAAAACGGGTAGGTAGCTTTCACATTGCTATGCAGGTTGGTTAGCAGCTGCTATGATTCCCATTCTTCCCTTTTCCTAATAAAAATGTTTATTGTAAAAAATGATAAAAATAAAGATCTCATACTTGAGATTTTGGAAACAACTGGATTATGGCCCTAATTCAATCACTGAACTCATAAGTTGCCTAGTAACCACTATCTTCCTTCTATGAAAGGAAGCATTTGGCTCCTAGGATGATTTGGATCCTCTGCTTTGCACCCTCGCCCCCTCTCCATAGTCTTCCCAAGGTGGAAACTGTTTACAGTTGTCTCATGGGTTAGTTAAGTTAAACAGATGAACTATCAGTCTTTTGCCCAAGTCATAATTGAGTAGTACTGGTAAAAACAATGGAAGCAAAATAAAACTTGTAAGCTAAGAATACCATGCAATGTTTGCTATTAACTAACAGTTAATTTAAGAGTCACAGCAACTTAACAAAATTGAGACTTAGGAGTATTAGATTTGGTCCAAAACCACCATAATGGCAGAAATTCACCAGTAAAGTTTGATAAAGACAGAGAATATATCAAATCTCTACTAAATAATTTAACTGAAAAGAACTAACTCCAATAAAAATAGCGAGTAAAATACACATACTATAGAGCATGTTTCTATTGATCAGAGTTGACCCTTATTGTGAGAAATCTATAGACTAGACTTCTCCCCAATCTCTGCCTTACACAATTTTATTTTTAGAAACTTTGAGGCAATATTTAGGCAAATGTGGTGATGGATAATTCCAAGTTAGTCCGTGGCATAGAGTTTTTTACCTGGCCCATTTGATGAGGTAAGGCAGATGGTTTAATAGACTGAATGTATAAAAGGAGTAACGGATAATTTCTGTGATTGTCCAGGCAGTAACGAACAGGATAACACTGTCTTCACTCTGCACCTGGAGGAAAAGGAAACATGAAAGCAAACACATGCATATTAGGAAACTGGCCCTCACGATGCGTAGTACCTATAGGGCTCACTGGCTGGGTCCACCAACCCAGCCACTGGTTTCTATCTTCCATGGCTGTGGCCCCACCATAGAAAGGGCTAGGTGTCTGTGACAAGAAATGTGTGGAACCAGGTGATAAAGAAGTTGTAGGGGAGGGAACTGGATGAGCTCTAGCCCCCAGAAAGAAACACGCTGAGTTTCTGTGGGTTCCTTTGCTACCCTGATACGGAGAAAACAAGCTGATGCTAGTAGAAGTCAAAAGTAGGTGGGGAGGCAGGGAGGACAAACTGGTTCAAAGGTTGAGATTCATTGCCAAGAACTGAATGCAGTCTGTGTGACAACTGGGAATCCGAGGAGATTTCAAAGAAGGGGAAGGTAATGATTACAGCACAGATGCAGATGACACTCATTCACTGGGAAGGATGAGCTCAAGAGAGGGAAGAGCTGGACACCATCTACCATTGGGCTCATTTATGCTGGCCCACTGCTGACTTCTGCCCTGAGACCAGACCTGGTTAACTCCTGCATGATTGCAGAAACTTCCATGCTGATCACGCACGGAAGGCAGCGAAAGCTACGGAGCCATGACACGGCCAGCCTCCTCCAAAGCCATTTTCATGCTGAAAAACAACAGTCCTTTCAAAGTGCCCCTGTAGGTGACTTTTAGGAGATGTACCTTGCATGGGAATTTATGGCTATTGCATTAACTTCTAGTACCGTCCCATCCCACCCCAGCTGGGTTTATAATGTTCTTTGTGCTCAAAAACCAGTAATAAACAACTTGCAACACAATTCACTTTAGTCCCCATGTATCCTTAGAAGTTCACGATCTGGATGAGATAAGAAATCCCACTTGGTTTATCAAGCAAGTCTCCACTGCCAGCTGGACTTCTCTGCCTGCCCTCACCCAGCAGCAGAGGTATGGCACTGCAGCCTTCACTTTTGCTTCTTTCCATCTGCAGTGGCAACAGTTCCTAGCACTTACATTCTTTCTCAGAAAGTGTACACGGTTGATCCACCTACACAGTGAAGTAAGTAGTCATTTACATAGCTATTAACTAAATTGCTCTCACAAAGAATTTCATAAATGCATAGTTACTATTCTCTAAAAATAATAAGAATTTTATTCTGTCAAGAGAAAGAGTACTTTTTGTTTTCCTGGTGCTTTTCTATCAACCAAAGTAAAGCAAAAGCTAAACACCTTGAAAGCTTTCATGCTGAGATTTTTCAGTCTGTCCACAAATCCTTGCTTAAAACCTATCTATGGTAAAAATATGTTCAGGGTACAAGTTTCTTTTTCATGGATTTTGTGATTTTCTTCATCTGAAGGTGATATTCTTTACAGCTATGACTACAGCCTTGCATAAAGACCTCTGTGCTAAGTTCTCAGCATTTTGTACTGTAAATCGTCTTAAAATCAGGGAGTGTTTTATTCATCTTTTGTATTCCAGAAGTGCTGAGGATGCTTTTCACAAGTAGAAGCTCAATCAATATTTGTGGAGCCAAGGAATTCAGTCCTAATCGGTTACTCCAAGGCTCAGCTCCCTTCTTTTTGATGCCTGACATTAGTGTTTGTGCAGTCTCTCTATTTTTGGCAGTACTGGGGTTTGAACTTGGCCTCATGCTTGCTAGGCAGGTGCTTAACCACTTGAGCCACTCTGCCAGCCCTTTTTTGTGTTGAGAGAGGGTCTCAGGAACTATTGGCCTAGGCTGGCCTCAAACCATGATCCTCCTGATTTCTGCCTCCTGAGTAGCTAGGATTATAGGTGTGAGCCCTGGGTGCCCAGCTCTGTGTAGTCTTAATGGCCTTCACACAGACGGGTAATATGTAAACAAGTAACCTCCCCCAAACCTCATTTGACCCAGGTGACAGGTAGACTTATGACATGGTCATCATGACTGCACTCTGGGACCAGACAGCTTTCACACAGCCTAAGTCTGCTCCTAGAGTGTAGCTGTGAAGACCATGGTGTACATCCTTGAAAAAAAGGCTGGGAGGGCTGACCGAGTGACTCAAGCAGTAGAGAGCCTGCTTAGCAAGCACAAGGCCTTGAGTTCAAGCTCCAGTAACAGCCCCCCCCCCACCTCAACACACACACAAGAAAAAAAGATCTGGGGAAGGGGGAATGGCCATTTTGTGCAATGGTAACTTCAAATTAGTTGGAAATGTATCATTGTTAATAACAAGGGATTTGGATAAAGTCAGAGATTGAAGGTGGGTGTGGTGGTGCACACCTGGAAATCTCAGTTCTGGGATGTGGAGGCAGGAGGATTGAGAGTCCAAGCCACCTCAGGCTATGTGGTGAATTTGAGGCTAGCCTGGATTACATAGTGAGACCCTGTCTCAAAAAAAAGTCAGAGATCAATTTTATCTGATTTGCAGATAATTATACAATAACATAAAGCAAGGGCAAAATGCAATGAGTGAGTTAAAACTAGTGAGACTGGTTGTGGAGTGGCTCAAGTGGTAGAGCACCTGCCTAGTAAATTTGAGGCCCTGATTTCAAATCCCAGCACTGCCAAAAATAAAAAAGAAAATAAAACCAGTGAGACTAATAAGACTGATATTTGTATATCCACGGTTATAACAGCATTGTCCACAATAGTCAAAAGCAATCCATGCGTTCATAGATGGGTGAATGGATAAACAAAATGCTGCATATATATATATGTATATATATATGTACAATGGTTTATTAATTAGCCTTAAAAAGTAAATTCTTATACATGCTGCAACACGAATGAGCCTTGAAGATAAGCTCAGTGAAATATGCACTGCACGAGTCCACTCACATGTCGTACCCAGAGCAGTCAAATTCAGAGACAGAAAGTAGAGACAGAGGTTGCCAGGAGCTGGGGTAGGGAAAATAGGGAATTATTTGTTACTCTTTTTTTTTTCAGCAGTACTAGAGTTTGAACTCAGGGCTTCATGCTTACTAGGCAGGTGCTCTACCACTTGAGCTGCTTCATTAGCTTGGGAATTATTTTTTAATCGGAGTGGAGCTTCAGTTTGGGAAGATGAAGGAAGTTCTGGAGATGGATGGCAATGACAAGAATGGACTTGATGTGATCAAACTGTACATTCAGTGATCTGAATGGTACATGTTATGGTATGCTTATTTCACTACAATAAAAGTAAATTAAAAAAACCCAGCAAGGGCAAATGTAAAGTTATATATGGTTCGACAACAACAAAATGACTGGTAGGCCTGGAGAAGACCTTGGCTTGTGAACCCCGAAGTCCAGAGTTCTTGGTGAGCCACAAGCTTGGTAAGAATCGGCAGGGTATGAGGCAGTTCTCAAACAACCCCCTGGATTCAGTCACTTGAATGCTGTAGTCTCAGTGCCCCGTACTCTACTTTAAACAGGAAACACAGTCTAAGAATGCCTGAGCTCACACAGTTCACCTTGGAAAAGGAAAGAGAGTGGGGACATAAAAGAATACCATGTGCCAGGCACACAAATGTGAGAATAACGGATAAAATCAACAGTGGGTAAGATGCCCGGTTCAATAGGAAAACTTGTTTAAATAAGCCGGCTGACTAAAAGCATAGGACATCTTATGAAACTGTGTGCTCTCCTGCTTTATTTGTGGATTCATTACATGCAGTTAGTTCTGAGCAGGTCTGGTCTAAAAGATAAATTTTTTAAAAATCAGAGGTAATGTCAAAAACAAAAATTTTAAATTCCGGACATATTACATAGCTCAGTGGATGTCAAGAAGCTCAGTCAGCCCCACTTGTTGTTGTCAGTTCAGTTGTGTTTAAATTGTCCTGTGATCTGCTGAGTGATTCCCTACCCTTAATTTTGTGAAAATCTGTTTTCTCAGGAGCAAATAGTGCCCAAAAATCAAGGTAAAAGTGAATGTGCTTGATTTAAGTGAGAAAGTGAAATTTTAGATTTGTTTAGTGCAAGTTGGGGGCATTATGGGAAAAGCGAGTCGAGCACCCACAGTGCAGCACTGAAATCTGTGCATCCTGAGCCCTGGCCGGTTTTCCTCAACAGGTCTCCTGGGAACCGTATTCCCGTGGGTAGCAAGGGTCTGCTGTAAATCCAAACTGAGACTGCCTGGGGAGGGTTTCACAAAGTCAAGAAGGTGGAGCTGTATGGTGGGAGCTTGGAAAGGGCAGACATATAACCTCCGTGTGGAAAGGCTAATACTAACTTCCTTGCATGAGCTGAAACTTTTTTAGTTGGGAAAGAAATGGGTAGAAAATTGAACAGTACTTAAAAATAATTTTCCTTGATCAAGGAAGGCAGAGGCTGGGAGTAGTGCTTCACATCTGCAGATCCAGCGACCAGAGAGGGTTAGATGGGGCGATCATTTGAGATTAGGAGTTTGAGATGAGCCTGGGCAATGTAGTGAGATCTCATCGCAGAGGGTGGGGAGAAGAAGGCAGGAGAAGAGACTAAAAGATCTACTGACTGATGAGTGGGTGGGATAGAAATATTTTTCTTGGTATTTTGTTTTTTCTTTTCACCCCCTGAACTCAGGGCCTGCAAGTTCTCTACCACTTGAACTATGCCTCCTGCCCTTTTTGCTTTTAGATTATTTTTCAGACAGGTCTCATCCTTTTCTCCTGGGGCCAGCCTCAGACTGTTATCCATCTGCCCATGCCTCTTCTGTAGCTGAGATTATAGACCTGTATCACAATGCCTGGCTTAGTTTGTTCAGATGGGGTCATTAACTTTTGCCCCAAACTGCAATTCTCCTGATCCCTGTCTCCCAAGTAGCTAGGATTACAGGTGTGAGCTACTGCACCCAGATTGTGTTTCCCCTGACAGTAAGGTCTTTAATATGTCCCATATTTGGCTTGCTCAGCCCCGACATAGGTCTAAATATAGGTCTGTGCAGAATCAATCCCCTTTAAATTGGAGGATAACTTGTTTTCTTGTTTTGAAAGCAAAAGTTGGGAAATTAAAAAAATTTTTTCCCCTAACGGGAAGCC